TTTATCAGATGCAGACCATCTATGTACAAGTTTCATTGAAATGTGATCAGAACCAAACAATTATGAATTATTATGCTAATTAGGGAATTTATATGAACAGATTTTAACCCAAAACTGATCATATTTGTACATTGTCCTAGAGCATCTATGTACAAAGTTTCATTGAAATGTGATTAGTACTTGAGATATCAGTGTGAAAGTTGAAAATGTATTAAATATGCAAATTAGGTTATTAATATGCATAAATATATACCAACAACTAGATTTAGATTTATTTAAAGGTGATGATTAGTACTCAAGATATCAGTGAAAAAGCTGAAAATTAAATAATTATGCAAATAAGTTAATCAATATGCACAATTATTTACCCCCAAACTAATCAGATCTCTGCACAGTCCTAGAGGATCTATGTACCAAGTTTCATCGAAATGTGATGTTTACTACTTGAAATATCAAATTATGCAAATTAGGTAAGTAATACATACTTATATTACCCTGAAAACTACTAGGTCTGTGCAGTGTCCTATGACATCTATGTACCAAGTTTTATTGAAATGTGATGATTAGTAGTTGAGGTATCAGTGAAAAAAGCCGAAAATTTACTAATCATTATGCAAATTAGGTAATTAATATGCAGATTTCCATCCAAAACTAATCAAAACCTGGCATTAGTTGAGAGCATCTATGAACTAAGTTTCATCAAAATCCAATGAGTGGTTGTTTAGATATCAGTGGAACAGTCATGGAACAGCTAACAATTAGCTAAGTATCATGCAAATTAGGTAATTAATATGCACAGATTTTTACTAAAAACTAATCAAATCTGCACATTGGCCCAGAGCATTTATGCATCGAGTTTCATCAAAAACCGATGTATGGTTCTTGAGATATCAGTGGAACAGACAGACGGACGGACACACACACACACACACACATACACACATACATACATACATACATACATACAAACAGGGTAACTGCTTCGCACACAGAAGTCAATAACATCCATCATGAGGAAATCATCAAAACATTCAAAACATGCGAATATAAGAATATAACACTGATCAAAACACAGGCCCCAGTATCTTTGGTAATCGTATAGTTATTCATAAATTTTGAATTCTTGATATTGACAACAAGAAAAAATGAAAACATGCAAAACAAGACATGAATGTCACAGTCCTCGTTATTTGATCATAAAGTAGTACAAGGAACATCTCCAAACAGGTGAATGAATATGTACTCTTTGTGGGTACAACTCATGAAGTGATTTCCCATAATCTAGTTTTGTACTGACAACTAAAAACTTCCACTGATCCATGTTCAGTGCAACAAAACTATTTGTCATACATGTATACTTGCTCAAAAAACTGCATTCATTAATCTGAGTGAACCTTGATGTACATGACTTCTTT